ACGGCACCCCTTTCAGAACTGCACTGAAATATAATAATTATGCCTCCTTTTCCTACTATAGACATAGCTGCTGACTTCAGCAGACTTCAGGGAATGTTCAGCTGCCTACCTCTGAAAAAAAAAAAACTTACAGAGGAAAACATTCTGAAATCAAAATATTAAAAAAAGCAATAACTGGAGTTTAGATATGCAATTAACAGTTTTTCTAAAAACAAAAAAGCCGCAAAAACAAAAAAAGAGGAGGAAATTATCTGTTCTGTCTGCTCCACAATAATCTTTGTACTTAACTCTGTACTGTTTCAATTTAGTACCTATAAATAACATTCATGTGAACATAAATGTATACAACAGCAAAAAAAAAAGTTGGAAAAAAGGCATCCTGTTCAGAATGTTTCATCCAGATAACATTCACATTCCATATAATCATCATTTTTATTTCAAGATTGCTTCCTCAGAATGGTTTAATTTCATCAGAATTTGCCATTTCCCATGAAGAATCTTACATTAGAAACAGATGGGAACTACTTACAGTTCAGTAATTTCTTTCAATTTCTTTCCCCTGTCTACATAAGCTAGAAAAACAAAGCTACGTCCAAGATCTGCACGATGGCAGATTTGTGGCTGATGTTACAAAGGACTTTAACAGATGTTGCTTACAGTTGCTGAAGTTTTTATCTGCTCAACACACCTTAAGATCAAAGTGGGCAATTTGCAGTGAGTGGAGATACTGAACACCATTAAGTATCTGTTTGAGAAATTCTGTGGCTTCCTCCTCCGTGAGAGATTCTTTCTCAGCTAAGAAGTCGAAGAGCTCTCCACCTGCAACACTTGGAGAGCAGAAGCAAAGTTATTGACGAGCTTGTTTCAACCAACGGGTTCCTTTGAGTGCAGCTATTCTCAGAGCAGCCTTGAAAAGGATTCAGATGCTTTAAATGTTGTCAGTATCAAAAAAGAAGATGCAAATTACTTAATTCAATACCCCAAATAGTTAGTAACTACCCCTCCTCCGTCTGAAAAGAACACAATAGAAAGAGTCTTATTTTCAAACAAAAAAAGGTTTAAAATAACCAAACAAACATGGTTGGCTGTGTCTATATTTAAATTAAGTAAAACCCACCTACTCTCTATATGGACTTTTAAAAGAATAAAATTAAATGTGAAGTAAGTATACTCAAAACATACTAATGTAACAGGACATCTAGAAAATAAAATATGAATTCACTTGTACTATTAGTAAAATATCAGATTTTCACCCTCGATTGAAAAATACAAAATCTAAAGCACATTTTGAAATAGTTACTGGTAGCTGTCCTGATATTCAGCTTCTAAACTCCTCAAAGCATTCAACTCTTTGAAAATATATTCTGTTCTTTGAAACAGTGTATTACATTCAGCATGTCTGTTGTATTCATACCCTAACACTACCACACCGATCCTGCATCTTAAGATTACTTCCAGCAAGTGTTTTAGCTGCACAGGCAGAAAGAAGAGAGGTAAGAAGTGAGGAGGGTACATAAGCACATCTAGATTTTTGCATTTGAGGGAGAGGAATAAACTGAAGATGACCCTTTTCTCAGCTCAGTCAGCAGTCTGCAGGAGTGATGGTAATTGTCAACAGAGAAAGAGATACTAAAGTGAAGAGAATAGGAAATATGAACTACAACTACACTTAAAACCCAAACCAATCTCCTCTCTGTTTAAGGACATATACTGAGATGACCGTCCACTCTGGCAAACTGTTTTTTCTTGTTTATAAAAGCAGCATTATTACCTATAAATGTCTTGGAGACCACAAAGATAGTCATATTATCCCCTATATTTTGCATTGTATCGATATTAAAAAAAATTCAGAAAGTACACCCTAATTTATGTTGCCTTTCCATTGGGAAAAACATAATCTGTTTATGATTTAAAGTTCCGATTATGAAAAATAGTGGGATTAACATATAACAATAGCTAAACAGTCTGTGCAAATTTCTGGAAATACCTTTGACTTCTTTATCATGTCTACTTTTCAAGAGACCTAATCTGCATTATTGTAATGCAAATTGCATGAAAACTGTATTTTAATGAGTTCTTGGAGCTTTCACTGAGCTGCCTAGACAATAATGAGTGTATTGTTTTGGGTATTATTTATGTTGTAATATTTTCTGCATGAAAGCAATTATTGAAACAAAGTGCCATTAAATACAAGAATTATAGACTGGACAGAAGAGAGGTAATTTTATTTTTTTTTCTTTTTCTGTAGAGACATTAAAATGTAATTCCTAAAGATTAAATACAGTTCATTATTTTACAGAGGCTGGAGGGTGGCACAGTGCTGGCATTTCCCTTCATTTCCAATCACTGGGCTAAGGCACTTAGACATCACATGGAACTTCTTTCCACATGTTTCAAAGTGGGTGTTTGCTGCAGTTGCCAGGAGGCTGTTAATCGGAGCACTGCCATGCCACAGGCAGAGTCACGGTGGCTCCTTCCCCAGCTGTGGGAGCAGTCACAGCAAAACCCAGCACCTTTACGCGCTCAGCACCATTTGGCACCAGGCTAACTATCAGTTTGGTGAACTGGCAGAGCTGGACACTTGGCTGAAAGACTGCACCAAACATTGTTATCTGGTTTGCTTTTCATGTAGATCACCCACCCTGTGAAACAGGGAAAGCTCCTGCTGACACTTAAAGCATTCATGAGCCATCACAAATGCAACAGAAGTACTTGGAGCATGCACTTTTGGCAACGCCAACTTGCAACACTGTGCTGCCCACTCTGCAGTCTAAACCAGGCTGTGACAGTGTCACACAGGTATGGATATGTTTTATGGCTGTTACAGCTTGCTCTTATTCCTGTTGGCATTTTAAAGATACGTAGTCTCTGTGAAACTTGCTAGTCATCTATGAACAGTAGCATGGATTATACACCTTCCTTTTAGAACCAAAAGAAAAAATTTCCAAGGTTTACTTATTTTTGAGATATCTAACAACAAAACATTAACCGTATTTGTGTAAAATGGAAAGAGACTCTTCAGCTTCAGCTTCTTCTTATCTGCAATCATTCCGTTTTGTGCAATTTCATATCCTGAAAGTTTAGACTGCATGAAATCACGAGTTTGATGTACATGTGTTTTCATGTGTCTCAGAGATGTCACATTTCTGAATAGTTAATTACATGAGATTGCATATAGCTCTTCTCTAGCACTGATGAGTACTATTCTCTTGTCTTTGCCATAGGTTAGTTGTAGTGACATTTCTTTTATGATTATATCATAGGCCTTATAATAGCATGAAATAAAATGATACCTGTATTTTACAAGTAATATACCTAGTGCTTGCAGATCTTGAAACTGAGGTCCAGAGAAGCTAACAGGTTAAAAAAAAAGGGGGTTTTTTTTGTCTTCGAATTGGAAGTTAATTAGCAAAAGTGGTAGATTTTTTCCAACATGTTGTGTGCCTCTTTAGACGCTTAAGAACTGTTACCCTAAATGACTCGGCAGCCCTTGATTAAGGAGTAGGTGAGTGAGGAGGGACTGGATGTAACACACTCAAAGCTTTCTTCCAGAAGTAGCTGTACCTCTAGTCTATGGGATTTTAGCGCGCCCCTTCACATTACGCACCTCACCCTTAATGCCTAGGGTGAGATCCCATGCGGGATCACCTCAGAGGGTGGGTCATGGTGACTTCTCCTGTTGGTAACTCCTCAGCTGCGGGGGGCAAGCTCAGTACCCCAGGTTCTCCCTTTGGGCACTGCCATTGCTGGCAAGCACCGTGCCCAGCCAGCTTCTCCTGCTGCTCACTTTTACCAGCAGTGACGTAAGGTGTGAGAGAAATGGGGTTTTATAGCAATGATGAGTAAAATGTTAAGCTAGCACAGAGGAGATGACCTGGAAGCTCAGAAAAGCTAGGCTTCCCGGAAAGCTCCGTTTCAGGTGTCCTCCTGGGGCCCTTCCCATATGTGAAGGGCTGAGACCCACGTCCCCACGGGAGCTCAGTATCGCTTCCTCTTCACGCTCATCAGAAGACTGCTTATTCTCTACCTTCCTGCTCACTCTGGTAGGTCTGATATTAAGCTGTAGCACCACAGGTATACAGAAAACCACAGTATCACTGCAGGGCAATTATTCCAAACAAGTCATAGATGGTTAATACAGGTCCACATTCAACATCCTTTACGAGTCTCACTTCCACAATTAATTCACTGGATTACAGTGCCCCCAGGTCTATCAGCAGAGTCTGCTTTCACAGATTTCATAACCAGATTGTACACCAAGAGTAGCTAGGTGATCTTGACTGGACTTCCAGATCAAGAAGTGGGCTAGAACAAGCCAGGAAAGACACCAGCTACGTAGGCCATTGCAGCCTTCACAAACCTCCTAAAATGCTGCTGGGTTTTCAAGTCTAGCCCTGTGCCTCAGCCAGCAAAACATGGTTCCACGGTAAATAAACACCACACATTTTACTATCCCCTGGTCACCTTCTGAGGTAGAGCCAGAAGCCAAGCAGAAAGCCCCACTCCAGCAATGTTCCTGTGCATGCCCCATCTCACGTACAGAGGCAGTCTCAATCTGAAGGAGAAGAGGCAGACAACTCCATTCATCCACCCTTATGACTGACCTTTGTGAATGTCAGGTTCTCCCAAGAAGTACACTGGTTCCACTTCCACTACAATGCCCCAGCCTTGTTTCTAAGTTAGCTTTGGGGCTGCTGGTGCATGAACCTGTTGAAATGTGGCTCAAACCAGATCATTGCCCGGGTTTCCAGAGCCACGCAAACTCCCTCCCAGCCTGCCTTTGGGGCTCTGCAGAGGGGCCTGCGCAGCCAGCGTCTGATAGACTGCTGGCAACAACCGCCTGGATAAAGGTTGCTTCCTGAAGGAAGTAGAGGCAAGAGGTTCACTGAGCACTAGTGTTTCTCCCTGTAGAGCACTTTGGAGTATCTGTTCCTAGTATCCTCTGGAAGCGTAGAGCTTCTCTGTTCAATTTCTCTGTCTGCTGGTAGGAACTGCCAGACAGCTTTCTTAGCAGTTCATCTGTGCCCTAATGCAACGCTGATCTCCAAAGTGCTTGCAAGTAACTGATGGGCAACAACTTACACCTCTTCAGATTAACACAGGAACTTGACTGTGATCAAGTCACAGCTAAATTCCTCTACAGCTGCAAAGCCTATATGTTCACTTTCACATACTGTTTTCCTTGAAAACATTAACTCTTTAATGCTCTTGTATAAAAGCCTTCTGTTTACCTTTAAACTAAGTCACAATTTTGCAGTCATAATAGGTTCAAACATTTGATATAATGAGAATCTGTGATTGATGGAGGTCACATCTTAATCCTAAAGGACATGTGGAATTATTGACCATGTTATAACACAGAAAGCCATAAGGGCTGAGTAAATCTATTTTCACTCTTATTTTGACATGTTATATTGTCTTTGAGTAGAAAGACTCCTAAAAACATTTTCAGTAAGAGCAAAGCTGGTATGTGCTGCTTCCCTGATATTTCTAGGTAGAGGTGCTAGCTTTCCCAAACTGATACAAGTAAAACAAAACTTTGAGTCAACTGCATTCTTTCTTACAAAATGCAATAGTGGTAAAATCATTTTCCAGCCTTCCCAAAGGAAGGCTGACAGATGTGTTTGCAACCCACATATTCCCTCGGGGAAAAAAAACACATTACACCTGCAGAAAAAGGATTTCTTGATAGTGCTTTTGCAGGTTGCCAAGCTTTCTTAATCATGAAACGGAACTGATCTCAGAGGAAGTCATTACGGGAACTTATATATGGAACTTAGAACCAATTAACCTTCAAAGTCAGCGTGGTCACCTCGTAACGACTCAG